GTCTCCAAGAATGAGATTAGGGAAATTTACATTATTTGCTCATTTTTTCCCAGTGTGTTTGGTTGGGGTTTGTTTGGGTTTTTTTTTGCAAGCCTAGGAAATTATACACAAAAGTGACCTTTAAAGAAGCCAAGGTCATAAAATCAAGACCTCAAGAGTAAGGAAACCGTATTACTAGAGCTGCTTGCACCCTATTCTTTAATCGACTTTATATGCAAACAGTTCAGTTACCAGCTCACGGTTCAATTCTTGATAGGGCCCAATGCCTCAACCACCCCAACGACGATTATGCCTGTTACAAGAACAGACCAGGGCACTGTAACATAGAAAAATTGATCTCTACAGGAAATAAACTTTGTCAAAGTTGAACGAATAAGCCAGCAAATGGTAAGAAAAACAAAGCAGTCCTGGCTGAAGCAGCTGAACACTGCACTGGAGAAGAGGATTCAGCTCTGCTCCGTTGCTGCCTCGGACCGCTCGGGAGCTACCGAGTAAATCGTGAAACCCAAACTTTTCACCAGCAGTTACTGCTTTCTTGCGTCTCTCCTCCACACCCAACACTGGAGGTTGGCAACGTAAGATGCCGAGGCACTCAAATCTTGGGAGCTTCCACTGAAACCTGGAGTTTCGGTGGTCACTGGACCTTAAATGTGGGTAACCTGCTGTCATTTTGAGTCATCTCAGAGTCCCAGACCAACCCAAAAGTGATGGCTGTGCTGGACCTGGACCTCCCTGAGCCTCAGTTCTTCACCTGCGAACTGGGACGACACTATTCTCTCTCTTTGCAGGGGAGCTGTAAAATTATCATGCAGACCCACAACCTCGTATGCATATATAGGCAAGCGGAGGTCAGGGGAGGACTTGGGTATTACAGCAGAAAGTGGCACAGGAAAGCCCAGCAGTAATTATTAATTCCATCTTCAAGCACGGTTTGAAAACAGCTCAACAAACGAAGCACTGAAGAATGAGGGTAAGATCAAATATTGACTAGCTGCTCCATCATTGTCTGGTCCGTGCCCTAGACAGCACAAGGGTATTTTGGAAAAAGCAGAATGGAAACACCTAACAAAAGGCTGGAGCTTTAAGGGTTTGATTTTTCAAACTTAGTATTTTTTTTAAAGATCATTTTAATGCAGTTGTACGCAACTCTGTTGAGAGACAGAGTCACATACAGACATGCACATATAGAGAGGTTATATAGGCACATTATTCTACAAATATACACACATTTATCTGCGTGTACCTAGACCTTCCTAAAACATAAACAAGCATCTGACACCTAATGCAGCCCTTGATGAGAATTCCTCTCTCTTCTCCGTAGAGTACCACCAGTAATTATTTACCATTAGTTCTTGACGGGAAGAGATTCAGCTGGGATGTAGTAAACAAGAAAACTGTATAGATTGTTCAATATAGCCTGGCTGGCTCTCAACTGAGGGAAGAAGTGACTGGATCACATCTCCTGGATATTTCAATCACGGTCTTTACCACCGGGGAAAAGCACCTTATTAACCTGTACCTGGTCAGGTCCCTTACACGTCCATATATGCAACGCCGTCAAGATCCTACAAGCGCCCCTTCTAGTTCATGTTACCACGCTTTGAACCCTCAACTGCTGTGGGGTTAAACGACTAACAAGACGGAGACCTGAAGGGGTTCATTTAGACTAAAGACATCTTGAACTCTGCTACCTTCTTACCTGCCACAGGTTTTATGTTTTTTTTACAACAAGGTAAGGGCTCCCTCTTCTCAGGCCAGAAATATCCGACTGTGGCAAAAAGATGGTCCTGAAACACAACGCTGGTGATTCGCAATCAAAATCATCGCGTGTGAAAAAAAAAAAGGGGGGGGGGAATCCTCCGCATGGATTATTTCATTACTTTTAAGAAAAAAAACCAAACACACCCAAGGAAAATTGTCAAGTCAAAACTGTGGTATTTTTAAAAGCCACGCTCCCTACCACTGATACATCTTCTGGCATGTCTCACATCATCACCCCGTTCCTGGGACTCCTCCACCATCAATAGGAGTTGTGTGCATCAACCCGGGGAGCCCGAACACCGGGCAGACCGTATGTGAAAAGCACCGTTTTTTGCATTACGGCAGAAAATTGAAGTATGCAACTAGCACATACTGTAAAGGCATTCAAAACATGACAAAAAAAATTGTTCAAATGCTTTCAATCTGCAGAAAACAAATGCTCTCTTCACTGACTGCTCTGTGGCAAACTTCTAATTCCACCCAGAAAATCCAGCATTCCCAGTCTGGGCTAACGACCATGCTACCAGGCATGAGTTTATGTTTTTCATGCACATTTCATGTATTCCCACATGCTGTGTTGCTGCCAATAATTTATGACTGATCTGCACCCAGCCTGCCCTTCAGCATTTTATTTAATCTCTGCAACAGTGATTTACAATGACTCATCATTAATACAAAAATGTACATGTGTGTTAACAAGTTTGGAAGAATCTAAGGAGGAAAGCAAAATTTTTTGCAAGTCGTGGCTGAATGACTTATGAGCCCGCTGAAGACAGGCAAAGCTAACCCGAAACGAGACGTTAGCTCTTCCCTGCAGCAAACAATTTCGGCAAAGAAGGGTTTCTTCGCCTGCGTACCACCTTAGAAGAAAAGGGATTCAGCAAGAGAGCCTTGCCCCATACCCCCCCAGACTGGGAGGGGATGAGTAGCTCGTTGGTCACCCCATGGCTGGATGTTGCCTGGGGATGCACACGCGTGCGTGTGTGTGTGTGCAACCTGCACGCTCCGCCACGGCCTCGCAGCCTCCCTGTTCCTCCGCATCCATTACAAAAAGCGGGGGCTGAGTGACCATAGTGTGGCATCTCTGGCCCCCACCTGTGATTTAAGAAAGCCCCGACTGCCTCTCTAGCGTTAAATCTTCCTGCGGCTGGGGAGAGAAGGGGAATTGTCTCAATAATTTATACAATTGTAACACCACAGCAGAATTACCAAACTAGCTCAAGCAGAGGAAGCCTGCCCTACATCCGCAAGACTTCAGTTATAATGTATTTTGACCTACTTTTTTTTTTTTTTTCCTTGCACATAAGGAACTTATAAAAACACATCTAACACAAAGCCAAAGTAAAACCTCCTCAAATTCGAGGCGAGACGGGTACTGAAAAACACCCTGGGAAGTCATTCAGGAGAAATTCCACCAGCTTTAGTTCAAGGCATCCCATGTTCATCATCTCGAAAGCTTTCTTTGATGGACCATCCTAAACCCACACGCTCGCCCACGCTGAACCCTACGCCCCCGGACCCCTCCGAAGCAGCAAACGCTCGCTCCACCTCATCGTTAAACGAGACCCCTGACGAACACACACAGCTTCTCAACTGGCCAAAGCGCGCGTCGTTAAACTGAAGGACAACCATATAAATCAGGGTATGGCCTGCATGAAGGCTGGAGGACGTAAAGCTGAAGCAAACACTAATTTTTTCCGGCTGAGCCAAAATACTGCGGGTTACGTTTCCTTACAAAACATATTTTATGTTTAGTGCCTTTTATTCCTCCATTTTGAAGTAAGTATCTCGGAAGCATACTTCACACCGACTAAGTATTTGGTATTTTCCTTTATTCAGTGTCTTAAAGGGCTTCAAAAAATTGATCTCCCAGGGCTGCTGTGGGGTCACAGAAATTGATAACCCTTACAAGCTATGCTTATGTGAGCCCGCCTGCGTCTCCCAGATAGTGCACTTTGTAAATTAATCCTCCAAAGGCAAATATATTGTAAGTAGCTTGTTATCTCTAAAGTACTAAATTGAAGAATACATGGGATTATATTGACAGAAATTACATTTTCTGTAATGGGGTTTAATATATCTGAAATCTCTCCCATAGGCTCCTACTCTCTCTAAGAGAGGAGGGTTTGTTAATGTAGGTGCAATGGACATCAAGACCAAATTTATTCACTAAAATGGATTAGGCCATGTAATCAGAGCTTCAGTAATATTAATCTCTGACACTTATTGAACAGAAAAAAAATACTTTTGTCTGCAAACTAGCATTCCTCCCTCCCTTCTCCCCAGCAGGCTCGCTGTTTGCCTTGGCCATTTTCTGGGTATTACTTCAAAGAGGATAAGGTTTCCCATCATAAACACTAATCTAAAAATATTAGGACAATTAATTAGATACACTTAGTTTTACAAGGTATTAGATTGCAATACACTTCAAATATGACACTTGTTCCGGGACAGCGGGAGAAACCTGCATTTCGATGCCGTAACAAAGGGTAATGAAACAAACTTTTTTTTTAAGGGTTCGCTGTTGTGTTTTTATACTTAAATCACAAGTAATTTTCACTGGTCGCCTTCACCACGTCCCGGACAGTCAGCAACCCAAAATACACTGCAGAAACAGCACGGATCCCCGTTTCCTTCAAACAAATCGCTGCTACAACAGATCAGGAGCTCCAGCAACCCTTAGCTGGAATAAAGAAAATAAAATTGCTCCACACTGTACTTCAGCAGCAAACAGCCAGATTGTCCTCCAAGTTTATCCAAGCTTTCAAAAACTGGACTTTTAAAACAAACTGGTAAAGAGACAGAAGGATGTCAGTCAAAAAGAAAAAACCCCACTTACAACATTTTAAAAAAGCATGACAACATCCCCAATGCAGAAACAGGGCCAACTGCCCCTTTTTTTCACCCAACATCTCAACCTCTTCCAAGACCAAAGTTCTCAAAAGGGACGTGGCTGTCTATCGAAGGAGACACATCCTCAGCCAGAAGGAGGACTGGTACCCAAACGCCAATATACCGAAATCTGCCCCGAGCGATGGGAAAATAAATACAGCTTGTTTTCTGTGGTAGCAAACCTCCTAGTTCCCACAAGTGAAACCGCTCACCCGGCTCTATCCCTTTGGCATCGATAAATTGCTGGGGGGGGGGAGCAGACAAGGGCAAGGGGTGTCCTCAAAAATGCGAAGCGTTAGCCGGAGGGTGCCAGCGGCTGTAGAGAAACACTAAGGAAAATTACTTACCAATTGTTCACTTGAAGTATAGTGAGCCCTGTGTCTTGTGCCAACTGCTTTTTCTGTTCTTCTGAAGGGTAAGGGTGCTATAAGACACCAAAATAAATATATACATTTAAAACAATGCTTTTTTGGCCTACTTTTTATTTTAAATTAAAAAAAAACACAACCAAAAAACCCCCAAAAACGTGACATCTATTATTGAAAGGTGAAAATGCTGAGGTGTGTCACTCTTTTATAATTATTAATGGGCTACTACATCACTTAATTAATGGCAGTAAAAGACAAGCCAATTATAAAGATTAGTGAAGTGGAGAACTAACTGCTTAGGATACTGGCAGTACCTTGATACTCAAGAAGGATATTTGTTGCATTAGCTGAAAGTTTTTGCACTTGTCTCGAATGACCGACTAGAGTCAAATCACCTTTTTTTTCCCCTGTATTTCACAGAACAATAAAGAACGTGATAAAGCACTTCCCTGTAAAACTAAAACACGCTGATGTTTTCCGAGATAGTGAAGGCAAATCTTGCCAGTGCCCCAAAATAATTTGCAAATAAGATCAGCATCCTGAACATAAACAAACGCCTGGGTTTTGAACACAGGCCAACGCAAGGTCAACGATCAGCACATTTTTGCCTGACATTAACATAGCTGTGCTGCACTAATCCTAAGAGACAGAAAATAAATACTGGTTTAATTGAAGATAATGTTAAAATTAAATCATAAGTTAAGTTTCTTGTGAGAACTTGATTGCTTTCTCAGAAAATTCGTTTCCGCATGAATACAGATTGCTTAATAAATCAACAGCAAAAAAACACATCCAAGTTTGAAATTTAGAAATATCGTTTCTCTCCTTTCCCTCCATGTAAAAATGTCACTGTCCCAGAAGAAACAGCCAAATATTGCCAACGTAACAATTCCCAAGCCTCAGTACACGTCGGACTCAGACCCGCTCTGCTGCAAGGGACTCAATAACACTTCAATAAAGGTAATTTGATAAAACTGGTGAGACCTATCCCAACACCCCATTTAGCAGTGGGTTGTCACAAAGCATTTGCTGTTAGACACACATCCCTTTTTGCCCCCCCCCCCCAAAACATTCCCAAATTCTTTGGATGTATTCTTCAGCCTAATATTACACAAGATGTCAACTGAAACCTTGTAAAGTGTAAGAATTTAAAACCTCATAAAATTCCACAATCTTATTGGTATCGTAACTATTTAGCAGATTTTATATATTCTTGTAAACAGCATAATCTGACATCTCATGGCTCTGTTACACGCCTGCACCACCTCACGTTCCCAAATAGGAATTTCTGTTGCAACTCCGGCAACCCCCCTTTCCCCAATGTGCCCATCTCAAAGCCCACCGCCATGGCCATCGGCTCCAAAAGACACAGGTTTTTTCACCCCAAACTGGTGGGGAATTTCCTGTTCTTTTAAAAACACTGTTTTCTTGACAGTGAGCCCGCAGACAACCCGCACACCTGTAAAGCACCCCCTGTATTTTCTGCATGTACATGAAATAACTCCAGAATTGCAAAGTGGAGGACACAGGGAAGGGGATTTTACTTCTTTTTTTATGGGTAATTTGCATTTTACGCATGCAAAAACACAGCATGAATTTTATCGGCCGTCTTATATACACGTTCATCCACAACAAACCATTGTACTTACGTCCGTCTATCTGAACATAACATTTTGCTTCTCTTCAAAAAAAACCCCAACCCTACAGAGATGATTTGTAACATTTTCATCTTTATAGCTTACTTCCCATTTCATTACTTCGCTATCAAGCGAGGACAAAATTATTCTTTTTTTTTCTTATTTCGCTTTGCCACCTTACATGTGATCTAATTTTAAGTAATTGAACAAACTGTGTCTAATTTCATGCAGCAAGCAATAATTACTAGACAGCCTCTAGCTATTGGAATTGAGAACTCCGTCTCCATTAAGCAATTTTCAATTGTTCTGTACTTTTTTCCAAATAGACAAGACTGGATAAAATTAGCCATCAGAATAATACAGTCACTGTAAAAATAATTGCTTTCAAAGTCCCAACCCCCAAATTCCTCAAATTGCGGTATGTTTAAGGTCACCTGATTATTTTTCTTCCCCCATATCCTAGCACAGCATAAACTTTTAATTTCATGATAAATCTGTAATTGCCATAATCACATGACAGCCTGGGACTTCACATAGCTAATCCCTCTTAGCTAAAGGCTCACAATGCGGCAGGCTTTTTAACTATGATTCAGTGTGGTTTAAAATAATCTTAAACGCTGGGCATCCTTATTATATAAGCTTTCTGTGGATCGTACGAGTTGTTCCTTTGTAGACTAAAAAAAAAAAAAAAAAAAAAAAAATGACTTGACAAAGAATCAGCATGCCACAGGCTAGGTTGCTATAAAAACATTCAAAGCCTTGTTGCATTCCCACCCACAGGGCTCGGAAGGCCTGGGCTACAGGCAAAGGCAGACATCACATCGCTACAGAGAGAAAGGGGGAAACCCGGAGACCTGCCATTTTATGAAGAAACTGGAAATTCAGTCGAAACTGTTGCTGTTGGTCTTTATTTCACTCATGCAAGAATGACAGGTGCCTCCCAAAAGCTTTCTAATGGTTGTTTAAAGGGATAAAGACACATGCACAGATAGGTGTATATATATTTGCATATATATGTATATTATATTGGTGTGTATATGTATAAAACATGAAAATCTCTCTCTCTCTTAGTCAAATGGTTTAGTTTTAGGCAGTCCCACAAGGAGCAAGGAGTTGGACTTGATGATCCTTATGAGTCTCTTCCAACTTGAGATATTCTATGATTCTGTGAAATATATCAATATATATAAAATACATAAACACATACGGAAGCGTATGTCTAAAACCACCGCGCTGACTCCAGTTGGCACCTATCACTCTGGATCACTTTGGGATATCAAAGCAAATCGTACCACTGCTCAATAAACAGTGACTCGAGACCTTTACTTTGTTGTGTACATTAGCTCCTACCATTATCTCTTAAAAGCTTAATTATTTGCAAACAATTGATCAAGATGGGAATTGGAGAAAAGAGACGCCGGACCACCGGGAGAGCTGCAATGCATTAGGAGAGCAAACAGAATTACCTTTAGGTCTTATAATCAGAATTAACGATTGGGACCGTACGCGGGGCAGCGCGAGAAGCCGTAACGCTCTTGCTAGAGTGTTTTCCATTTGATCTGCATTAACACCTCCACGGAAAGCCATAAACCGGTGATTACAGATGGACGGCTGACCCGCCTTCCCAGAGCCAGCCCAGCTTGTGCAGACTGGAAGACTGCAGACCAGGCTTTCTTGCCAAGGCCAGAGAAAAAGGGCAAATCCAAGGGGGAAAAAAGAAAAAACAAAAAAAGTAGGAAGTAGGTAGGTTAAAAAAACAAACAAACAAACAAAAAGGGCATTTGAAAGAATAAGGGTGACAACAGATAAGGAGTCTTGAATCTGGCTCCGGTATTTTCTGATCATGCCTGCTGCTCCTACAGCCCTACAGAGCAGCATCCACCAAACGGTGTGAGACCTACTGCTTCTCCCTTCCCATAAATCTAGTGCTGAAACGCGGATTGTTTGGCAGCATTAATGTGTTTTTGAGGCTCTGTGGTATTACTTTTAATAATGACTTAGTACAGAAAGTGATTGCTTAATAACACCATCAAAGTCTGCATGCAAATGAAAATTATCCCTGGGGGATTTGCCCAGGGTAATATGAACAGTTAAGGAACATTTGAAAAGGTAAAAATAACTATGCAAAATATGAGTCAGAGCAGTCGTTTTAGCAGTAACAAAGAAATCAAAGTGACAGAGAGAAAAATGTAACTTTCCATCATATTCTCTCGTCACTGTTTTATGAATGGTATTTAGAGAGCAGCAGTCTTAATAAAAGCCCCTTTTTAATGCAGCCAAGATCATTTTTAGCTAAACAAACAATAAGACTTTTTTTTTTTTTTAACCACCTTTGACTACAGCTGGTGGGTGAAGTCTCCAATAGATACAGCTGGAAAGCATCCAAGTTTGTCTCTTAATGATACCCCTTGTCCAAATGCACTCCTTTCCTCCAGTTTTCCACCCCAGGCTGCAAATGCCAGGACAGTCACAGATTTTATCTCATCTGTAACCCGGTATCAAGAACACTCCCTCCCCTCTCTGCCTTGCCTGCTCTAGGAGCGCATCGTAATGGTGGCAGAAAAATATAAAAATAATCCCGCCCAGAGTTGACCGCTGAGATAACGGGAGGCAAAACCGCCCCTTCTCACCCCCAGATTGCTAATTCCTCGTGGCACCGAACCGCCTCGACACCAGCACAGGGGCAGGAGCAAACCCCGAGTAAAAGGCTGCACGTTGTGGTACGAGGATGCCGTGGCAACCATCCAGCGTCACCCTTATCGCGGCCGTGCCGTCGCTTGGCCGACTGCGCCGGCAGAACCATTTCGGAAGTCCTTTCATCCCCTTCCACCAGCCCTCTGCCCCCTCCAGAGCTCAGCGTAACGCACCAAGGCGAGATGACCTTGAGCTAAACTCTGGTAGGCGATGAAGAGAAACTACCCCCTCAAATTTTATGCCCTCAGGAGTGTCTATTAACTGTTTTCTAACCTCAAAATAAAAAGAAAAAAAAACAACACTGTGATTTTCTTGTTTCTGAAGAGCAATCCAGCCTACAGCTAACTCGGTAACCAGAATCAAGCCCAAGGTTGAGCCCTCCAGTGACAAACCGCACATCGGTTTTATGCCGAACTCCAAACCCTTGCTCTATGCAAACTTGCCCAGGGCTAGCTAAGGCAGCGGCGCAGCCGTTTGGGTCTCTCTCCTTCCCCTGCCTCCTCCTGGTTTGCGTTTGAACTGTTTACATTAGCGATCAAGTTGATCTACGAGAAATTACTATTTTTTTTTTTAATATCCATAATGCTTTCCTATTGTCTCTCGGCTTTATGAATTAGTTTTACTGTTGCAGTGAATGCTTTTTTTGTCTCCTGACTGCACATTATCAAAGGGACACTTTGTGCCTGCCATTTGCATTACAAAAGCAGTGCATGGTGTAGTCTAAG